CAGTTTCTAAGGCAGGGAAGTCCCGAACTAAGGGTCGAGAAGTGAGGAGCACTCAGCCTGGTTCCTTGCAGTCGTTTTCGTATGTGTGTCGTATGTTTCGTTTTTGTGGTGATGAGCCTGTTTCCTTTCCGACTTTGTCTTTTGATGATGAGCCCGATACGTTTGAGAAGGGGAAGGAGGATGATCAGGGAGATTTTGCCTCTTTCACTTCAGAGTTTGACACCTGGGAGGTTGAGTCGAACTCCTCTTTTGTGAGCTGTGAAAGCCAGTTTTTGGATTTTGACTTCTTTTCCGAAGGTCCGGACGAGGATCCGGAGGCTTTTTCGGAGGTTTTTGGGAGATCTGAGACGGATTTTGCTTCCTTGCTTGCGTTTTGGAGGAACCAAGAAGGGTTACCGGAGGTTTCGGAGGAGTCCGAGCGTGTCCGGATGTTCCGTGGGTTGCCGAAAACCGTTGATCTTGAGAGTGATGACATGGAGGAGTACACTCCTTCCCTTCCCGATCAGGTAGGTTGGTCCGGAGGCGGAGGCCGAAGGTCCGATGGTTGAGGCAGGTTCCGAGGTTGACGAACCACCTGGGGAGTTGCCCCATTATGACCCTGAAGGTCCACATTCGTCGGATTTGGAGGATCCATCACCCGAGCTGGAAGGCAGTTTGTTGTATGAGCATGAGTGTCGAGGACATTGGCCGTATGATCGAGGGTGTGATGCGTGTGTTCAGGCAAGAGGTCGGACGCCCGCACGGAGACGAAAGGACCAGGAGTCAAGCACATGTGATCTTGCAGCTGACATCATGTTTGTAGGTGGAAGGCACTGGAAGGTGTTGGTTCTGCTCATGATTCAGACTGGCATGATTGGTATGGTGGTTCTAGGTGGTGACCGGGAGAAGCACGTGAAGTCCACTGTCTCTGTTTTGAATGAGATCGGTGTTGGAGGTTTGTCTTTGGAAGTGGCCACTGACAACGAAGCCTACTTGCTGAACCTGATGCAGAGGTCTCTGAGAGAGCCCAACTGTCGAGGCTTCCATTGGAGGAACATTTCAGAGAATCGTCCACAAGCCAAGGGGGTAGAACGTGCTGTGGGGATCATGAAAGAAGGTTTGTTCACCAATTGGTTGGCTTTGGAAGCTCATTTAGGCATGAGGTTGGCTTTGGAATCACCTCTGATGGGGTATCTGGTTGGGTACACCTATAGGACTTTCAATGGTTTTTGTGAGCGCAAGTGGGGTGGGACTCCTTTGGAATCTCTGAGAGAGAAGAGAGGAGGTCAGATACCACGAACTTTTCCTTTTGGGATCATGGGTTTTGTGAAGCCAGTTCATGCACAGAAGTGGCAAGGCCAGAGGATGGTGCTTGGTGCTTATTTGGGGGCCAGGTACAGTACAGGCGGTGGTTGTTTGGTTTACCCTGTTTCTGTTGACTCCACTGGAGTGAGGGAAGTGATCAAGGGTCACACTTTCAGAGTTAGGGACCAATCACCATGGTATGACGTGAACGTCTTGTTTCCTCTGCTTGCGGGTGCTTATGTTGATCCCAGAAGTGGCGAACAAGCTCTTCCTCCGCCACCAGTTCATGATCCGGAGAGGTCCGTGAAGAGGCCACTTGAGGACTCAGGTGGTGCAGGTGCAGGTGGGGAGGTTGCAGGTGAAGAAGGGGATGGAGACATGGAGGTCGAAATTCCTTTGCCAGATGGGAGCTTAGCTCCAGAAGGGGGTGGAGAACCTATGGACCTTGACGTGATCTTGGATCGAGTCATCCAGCATGCCCAGAACGAGGCAATGAATGAGTTCTTGGCAGGTACCTCTAGGTGTGATGAGGTTGTGGGTGAAGTCGAGGCAGAAGGTCAAGGTTCTTCCATCTCTGTCCAGTTTGGGGGAAACCAAATCGATGTACAGATCGCTGAGGGTGTGTGTGATGAGTTGACAGGGCACCCCATAGCGCATGACCAGGTTGTTGAAGGCATTCGCACAGAAATGGTGCAACTGGAGACATTGGAAGTAGGTGCCACCTATCCTGAGAAGAAGGGTCGCGCCATCGCAGTTGAGCATGAAGTGCAAATCCTCACGGCGAGGTGGGTTTTTACCCAGAAGACTGCGATCCTCTGTCGTGCCCGGTTGGTCGTTCGCGACTATGCCTCTGGTGCGGAAAGCGCTTTTCGATCTGGCATCTATGCCCCAACAAGTAGTTTAGATTCACTGCGAGTGGTCCTTGCCTTCTCAGTGGTTGAAAGCATGAGCCTTCTTACAGCTGACGTGTCGACAGCGTTCATGTATGCACCTGTTGAAGCCGATGCGTGTGACTTGGTTTTGCTTCCGGCGAATATCACTGTGAAGGGCCAACGAGTTATCTTGTGGCTGAAAAAGGCCATGAATGGCTTGAGACGTGCTCCACTGTTGTGGTTCTTAGAGCTTCAGAGGACGATCCGTGACTTGGGCGGAGACGAGACCTTTGAATCAACGTTGTTCAGAGTGAAGACCGACACCCAGTTTTTGTTGGTTCTTGTTTACGTTGACGACTTGCTTATAGCCAGCAACGACGCTGAAGGAGGTGAGAACTTCTTGCGTGCTCTTCAAAAGATCTGGAAGATCAAACGCACGGGGAGTATTCCGTCTGGTCGGAAAGGACTTCTGGAATTTTTAGGCCGCACCATATACAGACGCCACGACTCCGAGGAGTGTCTGTATTTTGGAGTGTCTCGAAGCTACATGGAAGGAATCTTCGTGTCTTGGGAAGAGAAGCTCAAAGAATCCACTGGTTCGGCTATGCCCAAACTGGAGGAGCTGCTTAAAGATGCAGAGAAAAGGTTCGGGACGTCCGAACTGTCCGCCACGGAAGCACAGCGCTACCGTAGGGTCTTGGGACAACTCGCATGGGCAGCACTCTCCAGGGCAGACCTTGCTTTTCCTGTTGGGTTTTTGAGTAGGTTTCAGTCGAAGCCCCATGTTCCCGCGGAGGTTTGTCTTCGTAGCTTTCTTCGTTGGTTGAAGGGTCATTTGCATTTTGTGCAGCAGATGCCCGCCAGTTCACCACCCGTGTTGACTGAAGAAGGGGTCGTTGTAGGTTTTTGTGATGCTTCATGGAATGTGACCAGCGTGTCTGGTGCTGTGATTTCTTGGCGTGGATGTTGCCTGAAGTGTTTCAGTAGGAGACAAGAGGTTCCTGCGTTGTCGTCTGCAGAAGCAGAAGCGATCGCCATCACGGAGGCTAGCAAAGAACTTGTGGCTCTGGGGATGTTGATCAAGACAGCGCGTGACGGAATCCCTCTTGATGAGATAGGCATGCCAACAAAGACCACAGGAAGCATGAAGTTGCATTTATACAACGATGGGCAAGCGGCTATTTCCATTTCTACCATGGAGGGTTTACTTCGACGTGTGAAGCACATGGAACTGCGAGCACATTATGTGAAGTACCTCCATCGACGACGTCGCTTGACCTTGGAACACTGGGAAGGTGTTTCCAACCCATCCGACGGTCTTACGAAAAGTTGCAAGCTCATCGAGATGTGGCTGAACCTTTGCAATGCTGTAGGACTTGTATCTGGTTTGGAAGAGGATAAGGCAGCATTGTTGAGGGGTTTGTCTCGAGACGACGATGACGACGAACTTCCGACCGATGAACGTTCAGTTCGAGAAGGGGAGTATGCTCATCGTGCGTGTTTCTTGCATTTTTCGTCCGTTGGTGCACGGAAAGGTGACGGAAGATTTGGGCATTGCGCCTGTTGAAAGTTGAAACTTTGTCGAAAATGCTTTTTCCGGAACAGTTTTCCAGCAGAAAGTTGACATTGGAGAGTTTCTGAATCTGTTTTGTACGTTTTCGTTGTTGTCCGTCTGTGTTCGGATCCGTCCGGATGAGTCCGGAAGAGTTTTGGTTGTCTTTTGTGTGCAGCGTGCAGATTTGGAACCTCTTGTTGAGTCGACAGAACTTTAGTGGAAGGACTTGTCCGAGAGCAGTCGTTGAGGTCCGACTAGGTTCGGAGGTGTAGGATGACTGTTTCTTGTTGATTTAGGAGCCTTCTGTTCTGTGGTGCTGTGTTTTTTGAGTTTTGCGAAATTTGTGTTGTGCACGTTTCTTGGAATCTGGATGAGCATTCACTGAGGAATCCTGTTTGCTTCACCGAATGTCCGGATAGATACCTCTTTCCTAAGGAAATTGAGACGATTGAACTGTAGAGACTTCTTGCGGCGACACTTTTTCCTTGTTTAGGACTGTTCTCTGTGTCTTGAGACAGTGGAACTGAGTGATGAACGCCCGCGGCCATTTTTGCTTAAGAAGGCAGCAGAAGGAAGTCGACTGGTGGCCTTGCACCAGGCGAAAGGGTTTTGTTTGTGTTTGAGGACATTGGAAACCGTTGATGTGCGCTGCAATAAGGAGTAGCTAACCATGAGTGGCTAGATCAGGGGTTTGAATGTCAGACATGTCCAGTTGTCGTGTTAGGATGCCAGGGTTGCAGGGTTGAGACGCCAGAGAAGACAGTTTGAGACTTCAGTTGCTGCAGGGTTTCCGGAAGCAGTTGTCCAAAAGGGTGAAACATTCATTTTCCCAGGGTTGTAGCGTCTTCGAGGGTTCTAGAACATCTCTTCTTCTTTGATGTGTGTTGCACTGTTTTGGTTTCTTGTGCTGTGTACTGTGTAGCAAAGCAAGGGTATGCTTGGCTTTGATGGTTTGATGCTCAATTTAACAGCCTGTCAGCTTCGCTGTGTGATTTGACCTGCGCGCCTCGAATCTTGTGAGCATCATGGCCGGTGTTGAGCGTCCCGAGATTGAGATTATGGAGGGTGAAGTGCCTGCGGCAGCAGGTGAGTTGGCTGAAACTGCCGTACCATCCCCGAAAGCTTCAGGACCTGTTGGTCCCCCTGCCTCACCTTTGACTGTTGTGGCAGGAACAGAGGACACGACCAGGGGTGCTTCGCTGACGTTGGCGACTTTTCCTTTCAAGGATGAGGACCTGCTTCGTGTTCAGGCTTCTCGTCTCCAAGAAGCCAACCTTGGAAGTGCAGAGATGTCAGCGGAATTGTTTGCTCAAAGCTCGCTTTTGGAGCTGAAGTCTGAAGCTGCCCGCTGGCATTCGGCCAGCGATCAGGTGGAAAAGGATTTGGGGACCCTAGCGGCCCTCATTTTGGATCTTCAGAATCAGGCGACTCAGGAGGGCACGAATGATGAGAATACGTTGGTAAAAGACGGCCCACTCACAGGCCGGAGCCTGAGCCATGTTGTGAGGGTGCAGGAGGCCAACAGGAATCGGCTTCGAGCTCTGCGTGACGGTGAAAACCTTTTCAGTTTTTCATACTTCTCGAAGTATGTGGCAGTGGAAGAGGGCTCTCTCCCGTCGTTTGCCGGGGACATCCGTGAAGGGAACCGCGACGCGGTCCTAGATGTGATCAGGTGGACCACCCAAAAGATGTCAGATTCCCATGAGAGCGTCAAGAGCATGACCACCTTTTTGACAGCGCTTGATGCCCACCTCAAGTTGACGGAAGAGGCCCATGCCGAAACCAGTCGACGCCTTATCGAGTTAGCTGGTGCCATCGTGGGAGTGCAAAGCGCGACTCGCATTGCAGTGGATGATTCCAAGCAGAATCACCGACAAAACCATAAGACCCTCGAGAACATGCTATGGCAGCTGTCAGGCTGTGGCAAAACTGTCAACCAGTCGATGAAGGACATCGTTCTGTCCATGGCCAAGCTGATCCAACAATCCGAGCAACACCTCTCGAGGGGCACCCGCGCGGCTGAAGCCTCATTAGAAGGCATTGATGGCCTTGAGGTGCATTTGAAAGCCATAGCGGGGCACCTGCAGAAGCTGGTTGATTTGCAGTCCAAGAAGCCAGATGAGCCGAAGGCGGCTGGACCAAAAATGCCACCGCCACCTATGACACCGACAAGTGGAAATGCTCCAGCTCCGGGTATGCCAGGAGGGATGACTGCACCTCCAGGTGCAGTGCAGCCGAAACTGATGCCAGGGTCATTAAACCCACCAACTCCATCGGCTTTTCCGCCAAGTCCGGCGTTCACCACACCGGCATCCTTCACCACACCGGCATTTGGGGCTGGAATCTTTGGGACACCTCAGACGCCCGCACCAGGAGCAACCAGTGCTCCGGCTGTTCCATCAGCACCGGGGTACAAGAGGGTGAGGCTGGCCGATGGCCAGTGGAGCTGGGCTGAGATTGGCCAAGGCGATATCTGAGTTGCCATGACTTTGAAATGGCTGATGTGTGACCTTGGAGGTCAGGATGCCGCGGCTTTCGGGGAAGTAAATTCCTAGAAAGTTTGCACCAGGCCATTTTCTTGTTTACAGCGGCCAGCCCACATTGATGGAAAAAGGGATTGCTCAGAGGGTTTTTGCCATTCGATTTGCAGTTGTTCAATTGGACCTTGTGAGATTCAGGTTGAACCCTGTTTGAGCTTCAGTTGATCTTCATTAGGACTTCATGATGTCTTGTTCAAGTTTCTTGTTGAGTCAAGGGCATGCACGTGTGTGATCTTGAAGGGTTGAAGTTTTGTGCATTGCTATGTCTGAACTTGCCAGGATGAAAA